AAAATAAACTGAGCTCAAGCTGCATTCCATAACAAGGTGTAACTCTGGGTTTTCCTCTGTGATGTTCCCAGAAGCATTGTGCCTGCCTCATGTAGCAGTGCATGTCCACATCCTCTCCTCGCCACTGGGTGAGGACTTAAAGCCACAGACCAATAGTAGTTGTTTACTCTGGAATACCATCATTTTCTTTCAATGGTAATGAAAGAAAAAAAAACTGAACTGACATCTCCCCCATTGTAAGATGGATTATATGGTTAGAGACTATTTGTAATTGCTTATTCTGTATAGGGACATATTTTGGTGGTCATATTTGTCTAATGGAAGATTATTTGGTTTACTTGCCATTTTCGTTTCAGTCCCATACTTGCTAATGGGAATGGGGAAATGCAGTGGCTTTAAATGGAAACTGATTAATGCTACAGTTTTTGGCATAGATATTTTTAGTAAACATCATGGACAGGTCAAAGTCAGTGATCAAAAATTCACGGAAGCCGTGACCCGTCACTGACTTTTACTAAAAAATATCCTTGACAAAATGGGGACGGAGGATCCAGCACTCTCTTCCACTGCACACAGCAGCACGGAGGTACAGCCCCGTGCTCCTGCCCAGTGGCTGGGCAGCATCCTTGACCCCATGGGCTAGGAAGCTGTGGGGAGATTCCAAGATGCCTGTAGGGAATAGGGAGCTGCCTGAAGCCCCCCAGCTGCCCCACAAGGTCTGGGGAACTGGGAGAGATCCTGCTACTGCAGTAGCTGGGCTGCTGTGTGGCCCCGATGTCACATAGGTTGTGGAAAGGCACAGAACCTTTGATATACTTGTAGCCTTAAACATGATCAGCTATTTAACATTATTTTTTAACATTCAGTTTGCTATTCTGAATTTTATTTGATACAATGAAAACATGCTTAAAAAACAAGAATTGGCCCTGTAGCACCTTAAAGGCTAACAAAAAATATAGATAGTATTATAAAATCAGTTGAACAGGAACAAACAATTTTTAAGCCGAATGCAGTTCCAATTTTTAGCTATTTCAGAGTAGTTCTTAGGTATTAAAACAAAAGGCTTGGACTTGCTTATGTGCATGTGAAGATCTTTCCCATAGTTCATTAATATTTTAAAGAGATTTGTATTGCAAACAGCATGTAAAAAATATGATGGAGCTTAATTTTTGTGTTTCTTTTAAATTCTCCTCTAGTAGTCAGTGCATTCAAATTGTCTCTTGATATGTCTCAGATTTTGTACTCAGAGACTAAATATCAACTCTTTGATCTAATTAAATTATCTAAATTGCTTCTTTTTTTTCAAATTACACACTTTGTCATTTAAGTACCTTTGTTAGCAAATGTCTTAAAATAGCATTTATATGACACTATGTGAATGCATTGCACATCCTGTCAGTCAATCATTGTACTACTGACATAAAAGTAATGTATGTACACAATTGATTGGTTACTGGATAAGTTGGTATGTTAAGATGCTTTAATTACAGTATTTATAGTTGCTTCACTTCTGTTGTATGAAACGTGCATTCACAATTAGATTTATGGGAGGATTATTTTTTCAAATACAGCTTCTGGAGCAGATATTATTAGTATAAAAAATAAAGAGGAGAATACCTTTATTCAAGAAATATTCAAAAAGCACTGGCAAGGCACTGATGATATTTCGTTGGGAATGTTCTTTGACACAGATGGTAAGTGAGAACTGCCTTGTTGATATCTTAACCTTTTGTCTCTAAATGCAGGTTTCTGTGATGCAATTTTTAAATTTATATGGTAGTCTGAGTTCAGTTCTTTTTGAAAAGATGTCCATGTCCAAAAAACAATTGCCAACATTGCTTCTGATTAGCCTGACAATGTCAGGGATTGAATGAGAATAGACAAGTAACTAATTTCTCAGACCTCGGTACTGTAGACCCTCCAAATCACGATGGAGACATATCAGCAGAAGACTGTGAAAGCTTCTATTGCTAACATCTGTGCTATACCTGTGTCAGGGCTGTTCCCCACTCTGGCACAACTAATGCAGAAGTTGGGGGTCCACAAGAGCACTCCAAAACCTTGCCTCTACAGGCTCTGGTACAAAAAATTTCCCCCCACAAAATCCCAATACTCAGATTTTGGGGAATCCGCTGCCACCATTAAGTGCTTTGAACCCCAAAATAAAACAAACAGGGGAGGACACTTGAAACCAACCCCAGGGGTACCCCAAGCTTTTTTTCCACCAAAAGAGCTTGAAAAAGAAGAGAGGAAAAACAAGCTGGAGTCTCTGATAGCTGATCCCTCAGTCAGGCATGCTGATACAGACAGACCTTCCAGGACACACAAATCAACCAATACGGGTTAATTAGAAAAAAGAAACAATCATTTATTATCAAAACAAAACTATAGTTGCAAGCATAGTAAATTGGATAGATGGAAAGAGCCACCATTGATATAGATACTCAGGGAAAGTCCCTGGGCTGAAGGCTTACCGTATTTTCCGCCGTATAAGACGACTTTTTATACTAAAAAACATCCCCCAAAAATCGGGGGTCGTCTTATACGCCGGGTATAAACATACAGGCAGTCCCCGACTTGCAGGTACAAACGGGGCTTTTCTCGCCCTGGAGGACATGGACTGCGGGACCTCGCGGTCCCGCCGCCCGTGTACTCCGGGGCGAGAAAAGCTGCTCCGCGTCTCCCTGGTCTGCAG